TCTTTGGTGAGGAAACATTTCAGATGTCAGTGATGTATCAAGATAAAAGTGAGAAAAATGCTAAGCCTGGTGGTAAACAGGGATACTGAATGAAGGGCAGAGCTCATAGCACACCCAGGAAACACCTCCTGAAGTGGGCCTTAGAGATTCATAGAACCACAGAGCTGGAAGAAACCTCAGAAGGCCATCAAGTCCAGCCCCCTGCTCACGGCAGGAGCAATCCCAATTAAATCAACCCAGTCAGAACTTTGTCAAGCCGAGACTTAAACACCTCTAGCGATGGAGACTCCACTACTTCCCTAGGTAACCCATCCCAGTGTTTCACCACCCTCCTAGTAAAATAGTTTTTCCTCAGAATGAACCTCCCACCCAGCCATTTATCTGATTGTATGTATTTTGCACTAACCTTGGGGGAGATGGGGAGGGGGAGGGAGAAGGATGGTTTCTGTAGAGATTTACCTAACAGGGGATGGAGAAGGAACCTGCACTTTGCCCTCAGCGCAAATATTGACTCAATTCAACTCCAAAGATGACCCCACTTTGATCTAGGGAGATGAATGTGGGTGAGGAAAAGCGAGTGTTTTGTTTGGCCTCTGTGGGTATGTCTACACTGCCTCTGGGAGCAACCTCCCAGCCATGCTGGACAGACCATGGTGACTGAGGCTAGCTGCCTTGGTCCAATCCCCTGGTCTGAGCTCAGGTCACTAGCTTGAGCTGCCATGTCCACAACACTCCTATTGGCACAATAGCCTGAACAGACCTAGCATGAATTTGTCACCCTAGGCTGAGAGGCTTGCTCCCAGCTGCAGTTCAGCCAATACCCTGTGCATTACACCCACTCTCTGACAGGGTGTTTTAATTAGGGATGAGAACAGGTTGGCAGGTGATGCTTATCAGCTAATGGTTAGCCAGGTCGTTGGGAGCAGCCCCCTGCCAGCAGAACATTGCTCCAGCCGTGCCAGGCCCCCACACGGCCCAGGAAGCCAGCCCTGTGCAGCTGGCACCAGGAGCCAGTCCTACACACACTGGGGGATGCTCCAGGCGGGCTGGAGCAGTACCTACCAGGGATCCTGCTTAGTTAAGCAGCTGGTTAACTGATTAATTGCGATTTTACATCCCTAGTTTTAATTGGGTCAAGATCCAGTTATAATGCTCTGTTCAATGTATACAACCGATTCCAGTTTCTTTTCTTTGTTGAGCTGGAAGAACACGCTTTCTGCGAAGTAAGTTGCCAAGGAGGGAATGTCACCCCTAATGGAGAGGCAGAATGGTTGGCAAAGGGGCCTTGGAAGCTAAAAACAACCATCTTGTGGACAGGTTTCTGAAACATTGGCTCAGTGTGCAGCAGCAGTCAAAAATGCCCGGCGGCTGTTAGGAACCACATGGAAAGGGCGATGTAGTAAGAGAGAAGCGATCACATTGCCACTGTACAAATCTGAGGTATACCTTGACTACTGTGTGCAGTTCTGGCTTCCTCATCTTAAAAAACATATTTTAGACCTGGAAAAAAATACAAAAAAAAGGCAACAAAACGATTAGGGATATGGCACAGCGTCCATACCAGGAGAGATTTAAAAACTGAGGATATGTAGAGATCTAATAAATCATGAATGGTGGGGAGAAAGTGACTCGAGCAGTGTTAAGAACTTTGTATGAGAGGAAGCAGGAGCTATTTAAAGAAACCAGTAGGTAGCTGGTTTAAAACATAAGGAAGTACTTCACACACTGCACAATCCCTGGAACTCATTGCCAGGGGCTAGTGTACAAGACAAAAGCATAATTGGATTAAAAAATTATTTAATTCATGGAGGGTAGGTTCATCAATGACCATTAGTTCAAATGGTCAGGGACACACCCTCTGGCTCTGGCCGTCCCTAAACCTCTCCCTGCTAGGCTGAGATTGGACAACTAGGGATGAATCACTGCTTTGTTTGTTCAACATTTCTGAAACATCTGGCACTGGTCATTGTCAGAAGACAAGCTACTGCACTAGAGGGCCCATTGGTCTCACACACACAATAGCGAATCTTATGTTCTTAAGTTAAACCTTGGCTCTAGTCCATGTTCTGTTGCTGGTTTATGTGACTGGTTACTTAAGTGCTCTTTGCCTCAGGTTTTCAATTTGTAAAATGGGAACGTCTCTCACATCTCCCCAACTCTCAGGTAGGCAAGTGTTTGTAAAGCATTTCTGCAGAGAAGGCTCCATTACAAAATAGCATTGTAACGTGGAATACTATAGTGATAGGTAACAGATACTATAGCAGAACTGAAATTGAGCTTTCCCAGCAGTGACAGGGTTGGAATTAGATCTGTGAACAGACCCTTCTTTGAGCTGGCTCTGTTCACCCAAAACTATCCCTCAGGTGCTCAGTCCCACTCCATAATCTCTATGCAGACATTCTTCTGCCCCATGTTCCTGACTGCTCCTTGAGGCAGACAGTATTCACAGTTCCCCATTTTAAAGCTCACTAAAGCCAGGGGTAAGGTTGAATTAGGCAGAGAGGAAATATAATGAAGTGCTTAATACAGGACTGTTCTCTCCCTGGCTTTGACTTGTGTTGGGAGAAGGGGGCTGCCTTGTTTTGTCAACTGTTACAATAAGGCTAGTTTTTATCCACCACCTCCCTTCACTGCTGGGAATGTTGGTGAAGCCCTGGGGGAAGATGCTGCAGATGGCTGTTATTTGTGACTGCTTGTTGTTCGTCAGTCCACAGTATGTGAGAAGATCATGGAGCTCCTGGGGCAAAATGAAGTGGATCATCACCAACGAAAGCTCATCATTCTGAGCCAGGATAGGTTCTACAAGGTCCTCACTGCAGACCAGAAAGCCAAGGCATTGAAGGGACAGTATAACTTTGATCACCCAGGTAAAGCTTTAAAAATCCTCCCATCTCACTTCATCTGTGCCGTCAGGGAACAGCGTGTATGAGGAAGGACTTTGATGGGAGATGGTCATGGAAGAAGGGCAAGAGCTGAGATACGTATCAAAATTCCTGATTGTAGAACACCATAGAGAATGTGGTGCTTTCCATGGAAATAAAAAGATTGGTCCCTGCCTCTGCAGACCTTATTCTCACTAGCCATCTCCTTCTGTTCTACCATAGCTCTATGATGTGTACTGATATCAGAGTGCTGTTTGGAGGAGTGTCTTTGCAATGCGGTGCTTCCCAGAGGCTATTGAGAAACATTTAGGAGAGCACCAATTCTAAAGGAAAACATTTCTTCTGGGCACCTTAGTTTAAGAGCCAGTAGAAGCTGGATGCTTCATTTAAGCATACTGAGAAGTCTCCTGTTCCTGTAGGAAATCTCGCTATTCCTAAGGGGTGACCTTTCTGAAGCTCCAACGAGAAGTTGTGCGCATAGCACAGCATTTGGACTTAAAAGATACAGGGCCTCAACCTAGCTTTACTACTGCCTTTCTGGGTTGACTACAGAGCAAGTCAATACTCTTTATAATTATTACTGTAGCACCTAGCAGCTCCAGTCAGGGTGCGACTACACAGCAGGGCTACGCAAATTGAGCTATGTCAATTGCATAGCTTAAGTCAAAATAGCTTACTTTGAAATTGGGAGCATCTACAAAGCACTTATTTCAAAATAGAACATTCTTCCTTCGACTTCCCTTATTCCTCATACAGTGAGGTTTACAGGAGTCAGAGTAAGAAGGCCCCCAGCTCAACAGTATTTCGACATCATTTCGAAATACTTGCCTGCTGTGTAGATGTAGACTTATTTCAAAATAAAACTAGTTATTTCAAAAGAATGTTGCTATATAGGCATGCCCTCAGGGACCTGTAGCCCACTGTACAGGATAAACATGGAGTAGATAGTCGTTGTCACAATGAGTTTACATGCTTTGATCATTTGTAAAAAAGACATAAGACTGACCTGGTTCATGGTTACATTACTGTATCTAAAAGGCTTTAAACATGCAAAATGGAAAGTACTGAACACCCCTCACTGGGTATCTGAGTTCCTGTATTTCAGCCTCACCTAAGTGACAGACAGGAAGAACTGCAGTGGCAGGTAGTAGGGAAGAAACAAAAAAAATTAATTTCCAACCCAGCTCTTAGAAAAACCACAGTATCCTCATGTTGTGATTGGTGCTTATGTTGTTGCTGGAGTGAGATGCCCAATACTTTACAGTGGAAGTTAGCCTAATGTAAGTCTGCAGAACATTACTCACATGATACTTAGTCACTTCCTGGTTTCCAGCTGCTAAAGTTCCTTTTAAAAAAGTTAAAAATTCATGAAATACTTTCCCTAGTATATTTTTTGTATAAGCAACAGCTGTCCTTGCCCTACTATATTTTTTTTATAAGCAACAGCTGTCCTTGCCCCAAGGTTGTAACATGATTGCAAATCGGAGACATTCCCTGCAGTCCATGCTGGGCAAAAGTAGAAAAACACCTGCTCTAGGTTAAGAAGGTTCACTCTTTAAAAAGACTGGACAAATATATAAGGCTTTCTACCTTGTAATTCTGTTTTGATGTGTTAATTTAACATGTTTTGAACTGACTAGAAATAAAATACCAAAAATACAAGATTTAGCTTTTCTAGATCCTTTACTCCGCTGGCTGTAGCTGCCATGTCCATCTGTCAACTACCAAGCAGTCTTGATTGTAGTTTTCTTGTCTGTTCGTATTCTTCATTTCTGTGTACCTAAGGTATCTTTTACAAAAATGTCCTCATCTTTGTATCTGGATGCAGTGATTACAATATATTTGGGGTGATGCTGAAGTTTTCCTTTAATAAATATTACTTAGAGTGTGGGTTGTTGTAGATAGAAAGAATAAATCAGGAATCCTCCTCTGGTAACGTCACCCAGAGGAATGCTGATAGACTTAAATTGTTCAGTACCAGAAAAGACTCGCAGAATTTTGGCTCTAACACTTCCTGGGTCTTGTCTCTATTTTATTTCTTCATTTTGCAGGTGCTTTTGATAATGATCTGATGCACACAACCCTGAAAAATATTGTGGAAGGAAAAACTGTAGAGGTGCCGACTTACGATTTTGTAACTCATTCCAGGTAAGTCTCAGTTCTTAACATTTTTCACATGGTGCTAGGCAGAGTTAGTGTGAGCTGTCATCTCTCTGCCCCATCCTCGCTGAGCATATGAATTTTGCAGCAGGATGCTGGAGGGAGCAAAAAAGTGGGACTGGGTGAGCTATGTTAAATGGAATGAAACAGAACTACACATTAGCGCTCAGTGTTGAAAGCCACTTTGCAATTTGAAACGTGGTCCAACTAATGTTCCACGTACCTTTTCCCTTTGCCAGGTTGGCAGAGACAACAGTGGTCTATCCTGCAGATGTGGTTCTTTTTGAGGGGATCCTGGTGTTCTATAACCAAGACATTCGGGACATGTTCCATCTCCGACTTTTTGTTGACACAGACTCTGATGTTCGTCTGTCCCGCAGAGGTAATATCCTGGGCTTCTGTTCCATTAGCAGCCACCTGCTTGCCTTGTGGTGGTCTCCAGCTATACAATAAAACTCACTGCCCCTTGTTTTTCCTTCTACCCCAGTTCTTCGAGATATGAAGCGTGGAAGGGACCTAGAGCAGATCCTGACTCAATACACAACCTTCGTCAAACCCGCCTTTGAGGAGTTCTGTTTGCCGGTACCAAGCTTTCCATTATCTAAACAGACACATGTTTTAAGGGTCTGGAGAAGTAGGGGAAGCTAAGTGATGCTTATTCATACTAGAGCTGGAGAAGTGGAACTAGGGACCTATGATATAAATCACTCAAATCATAGCTGCTTGAAATTAAAAGTAATCTTTAGTGAAGATCCTATTGTTTAGAATTAATCTTTGCATTGTATTTAGAATAAAATTCCCAGTAATTTAATCCAAGACAGTTAGCCATTGTTAGTCCTAGAAAGTAAAAAAAAACCAAAAACACCAACCAAACAAAAAAACTATTAAGCCATCAGGGTTGTCTTCTTTTCATTGTAGAGAAAACAAGTGTAGCTGAGTTTGGCTCAGATGTGATGTCCTACCCAGCATGCTATCCTTTGTAGTGTTGTAACCTTCCCAAAGCGTAGCCACTGTTCGTAACACAGGGCTATACCGGCTGTCTCAATGAGAACAATTTAAGAAGTGGTTCACAGAAGGTTTTGAAGCAAAATCATGTCTGTTGCACATGGGATGTCTTCTTGAGCCATGTGCAATCTCTCCTTGCTTCTCATCTGAGCTACCCTGTCAAAGACATATAATGGTTGTTACCCGCTGCTTGTAAAGCATCCTGGAAATTTACAGTGCTATATGAATGAGTTCTTCTCTCACTGATTACTGCCATGGATATTCTGGTTGTCACACCCCCAACCTTTCATTTATGTATTAGTGTCAGTTGACTTAGAACACTGCAGTATGACCTAGAGCAGGGGTTGGCAATCTTTTCAAACCAAAGAGCCAAACTTCATCAAAATTCAGAACAAGCGGTCAACAAAGAGCCATATAAAAATGCCCATTTGATGACTGAAGATATACAACTTAATATTATTGATAATTGACATGATGATTAGCAATAGTGTAAATGAAACGTACTCACACACAGACTATTTAATGGGACTTCTGCTGCATCTTTTTGCACATTTCTTTGAAGTTTACATCATAACTGGTCAAATTCAGGTTCATGCAGGCATTCATGCTACATGAGTAATTATGCATTTTTAAAATTTTGAATTTTTCATTTTAATTTAAAAAGTAGCATGGATTTTGGGAATGGCAAAAGAGCCATATTTGTTCCATACTGAGCCGTATCTGGCCCAAGAGCCAGAGGTTGCAGCCCCCTGATCTAGGGTCTACACTGCTCCCCTTCCTTCCTGTGTGTAATTGTACAGGAGAGGAGGTGGCTGCCATTTTGGGTGACCATATACATACATTTAGCTTGTGAATGCTTTTAGTGCTTTAAGAATACAAAAGCTTTTCTTTTTTTTTTTTTTTTACTTTGATCTAGGGGGAGGTCTGAGTTGGTCTTTGCCTCCTGCAAGTGTTGTAGCAAGATCAGCATCCCTATGAGGGAACTGCCTTTTTATAAAAAGCAGAGGACTTGAAAGGATCAGAGACAGGTAGCAATTTAGCACACACACAAATATTACAAACAGAATTGGTTTTAATCAGAATGCCACCAGCTAACTGGATTGACCTGCTCTTGTAAGTCAGGCAGTGCTGCAAAAGAGGCTCAATGAAGGTAACATCAATTTCAGGTCAGTAATAGTAGGAGAGGAAAGGAATGTCTTGAGTGCTTTTAGTATAGAGGCAACAGTCCCTCACCCCTTAAACTGTTCAGTCACAGCTACAAAATTCAGGAGATCGATAGTAACATTCAGATGACCAAACAGACTTTTAGATACTATTACAATGTAAAAGTAGCCTCCTTTTTTCATATCTGAGAATAGTGGTAAATATTGTGAAAAGCCCAGCCCTACTATTATTTCTGATTTGCAGACAAAGAAGTATGCAGATGTGATTATTCCTCGTGGAGTTGACAATATGGGTAAGGGACATTTACTGCTTTAACTGCACTGTCACATGGATTTTGCACATAAAGATAGTGATAAACAGATCTCCCAATGCTCCTCCTGAACCCTCTTGTAAAGTGGAGGGAAAAGTGCTTAGAAACTGACAGGATTTCCCTGACTTTGTTTTAACCAGGTCTATAGTTTTTAAGAGGCTGGCATTATGTTGTAGGGATCTGACCACACTGCACTAGTTTCAAATGCAAGCAGCAACATTGCAATGAAGAGTATCTGAATGAGACAGAGCTGGTTGTCACAGACACCCGCTCAAAAAATAGTGGAAGACTTCAGCCAACAACATTCATATGTCCAATATTTACTGTTCTTTTTGCAGTTGCTATAAACCTTATTGTGCAGCACATCCAGGACATTTTGAATGGAGATATCTGCAAGTGGCAGCGAGGGGCGATGAATGGGCATGGTCGGACATACAAACGATCATTCCCTGAGCAAACAGAGGGCAGCACCATGTTGGCAGCTGGCAAACGATCTCATCTGGAGTCTAGCAGCCGTCCCCACTAACCAGGTGGGGGTCTGAAGAAGTTGCTTCTATTCCAGACCAACTTTTTCAACTAACTGGTTTGTGACATGCCCATAGCAACTTAGGGACAGATTCAAGAGGTGTGTGTCTTCTCACAGAGTGAAGGAAGGAACTGGACTATTGATCCTGCACCCAGGACCTGGTTTTAGATGGCACTGTATGCTGAAATCCCTTCTGGGAATTAAACCCAGTGCAGTGGGGTACAGGACCCCTAATCTGCATTCATGGTGCTTTTCCTTAGCAGCAAGGAAATGAGATCCTTGCTCTTAAGTGAGAAGCAGAAAAGAGACTTGTTTTTAAACAGGCCCCAACTTGCCCCTGTTCCTTAACATAGATCTGGCATTCCCATGTCCAGAAGGACTCTATTGTGTGGGGAAAAAGGACTACGCTCATTATTGGTGCAACTGCAGAGATGTCTATTTTACTGAGGGCTGAGGAAAATTAGGCTTCTTGGGAGGTTAAACAACTCTGCTAAAAGGTGGAGCCCCATTGCTCCTTTGTGTGTCACAAGCTACGCAGAATGTAGCTAGGCTTAGCAGATATAGTGCTCAAAGCAATTACAGAGCAGGAGAGCTCCAATGGGGTTGAGTGTCTCATGACAGGAAGGCTGACCTTGGAGAACACTTCCATACTAATTGAGTGCAGAGTCTGCTGGCAGAATTCACTTGTAAATGTGGTTTACAGTTCTCTTGCCTTCTCCAAAGCAGTGGTAAAGCTCAAGTATTCAATCCCAGGGGGAGTTGAGTAGCTCAAGCAAAGAGTACTGTGGCATCAAAAAATGAACAGAAGAAACTTAACATGAAACCGTAGTCTCTACCAGTGTTCCCTCTCTCATTTTCTATCCTTGGGCAGGTTGAAATTTCTTATGTGCAACAACAATATTGAGGTAGTGTATGGATGTGCACCATCAATACAGCAGCCCATGTGTGGAAGAAAATTATTAAAACAAGACATCTGTGTCTAGTTGTTGTGAGGTACCCTTAGTGATTACAAAGGTAGGGAATTAGCCTGCTTCCACTTGAGAAAGAGTAGAAGCCACAGAACAAATTAACACGTGACTTCAGGCATGTTTCAAAGAGATTGCAGATAATCTTTCATTCTACAAAACTAGCATCGCATGTCATACTTGCTACTTCTGACTCATAAGAGCCAGAACTTTACCACATAGCAAAGATCTGGCCTTAATGCAATACACTTTACCATGTATTAATTAGTAACACAGGATTTTAAAACAATAATTAAATTAAGAGTTTTAGATATCTGCAACACTCAAAAAAATTAAAATATTTTTCTCTCTTCTCTTAAGCCATTAACACCTATGTAAAGCTTTGTTTGAAATGCAAATGTCCTCCCATGCAGCCTGCTTCCCCACCCCTCCAACCCAGCCTAGCAGAGAGAACTGCAGGGAGTTGGGACAACCAAAACAAACTGTCCCCCTGCCTCCAACTCACTGCACAGATGCCAGAGCCCAGGAGGGCAAGAGTAAAGTGCTGAGAGAGACTAGAAACCTAACTATTCAGGAAACTTTTTCTATAAGGTGGAGGATCATAGCCATGCACTCAGCCCCTTACCCCCCCCTTCTTAGCTCAGGCTGGTTGAAAACACTGCTGGGTTTCTGCCTCTCTCTCCTCTAGCAGAAGGGACTCTCCCAACTCCCCTTGGATTTTCCAAGCAATTACTTATTCCCTCCCTCCAACCACTTATTGCAGCCTTATCACAGCTGCTTTTCTGCTCTGGGAGCTCTTCAGTTCAGCATGTGGCAGTGATTAGTTGCTGTTTACAGACGCCCCCGCCCTCAGCTGAGCTCCCTACCTGCACCAGGAGCTTTGAACTTCTGAGCAGGCCTCCGAAAATAGCTGCGCGGCCATACAGCTTAGAGGGAGCTTTGGTCTCTACCTTACTACAAGAAGGCCACCCTCTAATTACAAGTGACATTTTAAAACATCATTTGCTACTTACCCATCTACTTGGTAAATGCAGACTTAAGCAGAGGGAAGAATTATTTATTGTTGAAGAACTTTTTTCGTCTCTTATAAAAAGCCAGGCGGTTTTGTGTTGCTTTGATAAATAACCCAGTGAACAAACAAGTAGTCCTATGGCACCTTACAGACTCACAAAAATATATAATATCATGGGCTTTTGTGAGTAAAACCTACGTCATAGCTCATGACACTGTATATTTTTGTGAGTCTCTAAGGTGCCACAGGACTGCTCATTTTCGAAGTTACAGACTAATGTGACTACCTCTGTGACACCAATGAACAAACGGCAGCAATGTGGCTGTAACCACGTAATGGTTTGAGAGAGATTGTCAGAGTGAGCAAATCTATCGGTTCAAGCATGCCTCCTACATGGTAAGAGCTAGGACCACCAAATTCGGTATACAGTCTTATAAGTTAAGGATTTGGTTGGGAGGGGAGCTGAAGCTCTCCTCCCTCAAAGGAGCACGAGGATGCATAAAACCATACAGAAAAGAGATTCACCCAGGTAGGGGCTGGCTAGGGGCATGCCCCACCCACCTCCCCGGCAGGATTGCCCCAGCCGTGAGCCTCCCACCCCAGGTGCCTGTTAGGGAGGCCATGGGGGGACTGAAGCCCCCCCCCTTCATACAGGAAAATTGCTGACTGTTCCCTTTCATCAGGGAGTGAAGGGGAAGTGCACAGTTTGCTGCATTGCTCACTCTGGCTGGGGAGTGCAGGGGGCAGATGAACCTAGACCTGTCCAAGGCGAAGGACAAGACCCCTCCCCCAGCTGTGCCCGCTGGAGCTGAAGTAGCCATGACCCCAAGTAGCTGTGGTGAGAGGGTTGGGGTAGCCCTCTCTTCCTGACGCAGCCTGCATATTGAACCCCTCTCATCCACAGCTCCATCCCAGAGCAATGATTTAAATGAAGAAAAACAAAAAATAAATGAGTTAAGGACCTGAGCAATGTAATAAATCTTCTAGTTTTTTTATAAAAGTAGTTTCAGTCCCTGCAACACAGATCTACTAAAAGGCACATTCTTGCTACTCATCCCAACACCAAGGAGCTTTAACAGAGTCCCAAAGGAGTGTCAACTACAATAAAGAGGCTGAACAGCCAGGGAGCAGGCTGGAGCAAACACATCCTCTCCCTGTAGTGTGTTTAGTCTCTCAGCCATGAGTTGTTCTATCTTGAAGTAAAGTTAGTTAAAGCTTTAGTGAAGTGTCACTATGGTCTCCCTGAATGCATCCAGTCAAGTACGAGTCTCTTCCCTCTAAAGGCAGCAGCCTGGAACTATACGCTACTAGTTAGAAGAGAAGGAAGCTCTACAGTAAAATCTTTCAAGATCAGTCTAGGCACCTGTTCTACACTAAATATCAAGGGTAGTTTGAGACAGTGGAGCTAACCTACAATACTGTAGATTTGCAATGAGACTAATGCTATCGAGCAGAACAGAAACACATTATCACCCCCATGGGAATACAATTTTTGCCAACATAATTACAAGGCTTTTTGCCCTGAGCCCCTATCTAGAAGCAAGAGCAGTTACATTTCAGTATGATCAGTTCTACCTTGACTAGTGTGTAAAGTGGCTCCACTATTGTTTGCGGATCAGGATGTCCCAGGTGTCCTTCCAGCGCAAGTCCCTGAGCTCAGCTGCTGAGAGGGCAGGCTTCCCATAGGTTAGTGGGCTGAATGTGCGATAGACCAGGTAAATGGAAGAGAACCAGGCTACCATCAAGGCACTGAATGTGTTCTTAGGGAGTTGGGATCTGCGAGAGAAAGAACTGAAGTTAAAGGAAAGCCATCCACACACACATTCTAATAGCAAGTGGCCAGTGTGGCAATTCGGAACTGCAAGAAAGGAAGACCCCAAGAAACAGATTCTGTCTTCTCTCCTCCAAATAAATGAAATTCTAAATAAGGCTGCAGTTTAACATGTAGCTTGCTTGGCTCTGTACACACATTAATTGAGTAATTCTCTCCATGCCCCTCTAGGAGGCAGGGCAGTGTTATTACAGATGGGATATAATGCATTGTGCCCAAAGTCAGTGCTAGAATTAAGAACCCCATCATTTCACCACCCTGCAGGATGTGCCAGGTACCTGAAGACGTGATCACTCAGATGCTGCAGTACAATAGGAATCAGGAGGATTTGGAAAGTAAGAGCAGGCAGGTAGTGGTACAGGAAAAGTGTCTTTTCCATCATGAAGAAGGGGATGTAGTTCACAGCCCAGCCTCCCACACAGAGGCCTCCAGCTGCCACCCAGATCCACCACGCATCTACAAGACAGAAAGGGTAACACAGTGCTGAGCTCTAACCAGGCTTCCTGGGAAGGTCTGCTACCAAGCACCCTGACAACTAGCAACTGCAAGGACAGGCAATTTTCCAAAGTTTTTTATGTTGCACGCAGAGTGGAAGTAGTTAGATAACATTTCCCTAGCCACTTTAACCAAAGGTTATGCAGTGTAAAGCTATCAGTAGGCTCTTTAGTGATCTTGCAGAGCACACAGGACCTGTGTGTCCAACGGCACCTCTAAAATACTCATGGTAGGTGGGTTTTGATAGATTCCAATTATGATCCTTGGAGCATTAAAGCATGCAGGAAATGCAGTGATGCATTGTAATCTCCCAAAGAGAAGATGGTACCTATCAGGAAAGAACACAGGTCTTCTAACTAACCAGGGAGGGCTGTACTACTTTGTCTTTGGAATAGCTGAACCCCAACTAGAATGCTCAACTGCTGTGCAGTGAAGTGTCAAACTGCTCTGTACAAGTCTATTTCAGTGGCTAAGGGATCAGACCTTCAGGGATGTCACAAATCTTCCTCCGTCGTCGAAGCAAATACCAAAGGAATAGACACACATATACAAGAGTTGCAACATTTGCTGATGCCCAGGTGAGAACATTTCCAATTAGGTGGATCTGAGCCTGTAGGATAAGAGGTGGAAAACGACAGTGATTTTTATTACAGAGAGAAGCACAAAATTAAATATTACATAGCTGCATACACCCAAATCCAAAAACTCTGAATTTATCTGACAAGAGCTATGGCAATCCTGTCCATCTGGCTACTGAGCTAATCTGTCTTGGAATGTGTCATCAGACTGACAGTGGGGCTGCTTTATTATTTCATAATTCATCTTTATATAAAGCATTTGAAAGAAATGGTCAGTAATGGATAGATGTTCTACCCTGGATCAAGTGAATATTAAATTGCAATTTTCCTTTAAAGGACTGGAAGAAGAGAA